GAGTTTCAGCTTCCTCTTGAGTCCTGCGTCGTGTCGTTTACAGGGGTAACGAGGGGTGATTAGCCTCTAACGTCTACATCCAGGTCAGTAGGTCGTAAGGTCAGGAGAAAATCAAACATGTTTGAAATTCAGTCGGCCATCGTAAGTAAGCTGGTCGTGGGCAAATCCTGCTGTTAAAGCAGAGCTATTAGGGATGGAACGGTTTATGAAAACCGTCAGAATCGTTCGGTTCGACCGTCTCGGTTCGATTCGCGTGTGTTTCGTTCGGTTCATGCGCTGCTTCTTGTTCTCATAGGCGAAGCGTTTACACTCCAGAGCAGAAGGTGGCAGTACTGCGACCAAAGCCAACCACCAGTAGTAGCGAAGCAGCGTAGCCGGGTGTAGCAGAAAAAAATCAGTTGTTATGGAGAATTATGTGGGTATGGCGAGTGGGAAAGAACAGGAGTTTGAAGACGCGCCAGCAGCACTTTATAGGTCTGCTGTATGGGACCACTTTGCATTTAGAGTGACCTACGATGACGGCGGACAGTTGTGGATAAAAGTGCAACAGTGTGCAAGCATTGTGCAACACGTTTTGTTTATGCTAACAGCAACATGACCAACATGTCATGCTAACCGTGAAATCCCACATACTCCGCTGCGCTCCAGACCGCCTGCCTCCACTGTGTCTACCGTCCGCTCCGCTCTGAGTTCCTTGGAGATTGTAGAGGGCATGCACGAGATGATTAAATTCAAAGCAGCAAAACATGCGGGAATGATCCATGGTTTCCGTGGATCATTAAAAATAATAAAAAATTCATAAATTTTTTTGGATTTTTTCATTAATTTCATTAGTTTTTATTTTTCATTAATTTTTATAATTTTTTTAAATTTTTCGGTGTAACAATAAACATATACCGAACCGAACCAAAAACCGTGACCACGAAACCGTGAACCGAACCGAACCGTGGATTTTGTGAACCGTTCCACCCCTAGTAGCTCTCCAAAACATCACGTTTTGTGTTCCATTTTTAATTGGAAGTCAAAGATTTTGACCTCTGAGCTGGAAATTTCAACCAGAAATTTTTCCAAAAGTCGGAATTCTGNTGTGTTCCATTTTTAATTGGAAGTCAAAGATTTTGACCTCTGAGCTGGAAATTTCAACCAGAAATTTTTCCAAAAGTCGGAATTCTGGTTTCGGAAAAGTCAGGGTAACATAAATATACCTAATGTCTGTATTCAAGATGGAGGCCACTTGCATCACCAGTTTTTAAACTTTCTCACTTTGCCTTGTTTTAGGAGTTCATAATGTATGTAACATGAATATAGATGAGATGTTCCAGAGGTTATTGAGCAAAAGATGGTGCAGAATGATGATTTTTAATTGGTTGCTATGGTGATAACGATGGCCATCATTGCCATAAACTGGTACCACCTCACATCTTACGTCCGCTGACTGCCCAATTCTGACCTTAACGGAACACAACATAAGCTAACTGGCTGTTTGATGTACTCTATTACTGTACATTAAACTCATGAACATATATTTAAATTTCTCTTATCACCATGTTAAAACAGAAATGGAGCATAATGTTTTATGTTTGGCAGAATAAAGCAGGTAAGCTAAGCCAAATGACTGCTAGGTTTCTACTTATGACTTTCGACAAAAAGTGGAAGAAAATTGCCTTTTTTTATTAACCAGCGCATAAAAATGTATATTTAGATTTTAAAGATGTCATTTGGAATCCCAAACTGAAGTGTTTTTATTTGATTATTGTTGCAAAAAAAGCAAGAGCATAGTTAAGCTAAGCTAATTAGCTGTTACATGTAGCATATTGAGCAATTAAGCATCTTTCATTAAATGCTGATCTTTTTAATGAAATCTCAATCTTTCATTAACATTGTTACAGCATTGGCTGTATTATATGTTTTCTCTAAATGTTTAATGCTTAGGATTAAAAAAACACCTTAAGGAAGGAAAGATTAGAAGGACTATAATAAACTTTTTGGGAAGTTACTTACATCATATAAGGACTGTGAAACAGATAAAAAAAAACACAGCTAAAGCTTCCAGATGTAAGTAAAAATATTTATTTATGTACTTATTTATTTTCATTTGTAACTAGAAAAATAGGTGTTTATCTGTTAAACACTATTTCTATGTATTTGTGGTATTTTAAGCTGTTTCAACACTGCACACCTCACTCTGACGACCCTACCCTGTTGTTAGCTCTTTGCTACTGTCATGTTAAATGTGCAACAACAAGAAAAAAATCTGAAGTTCCTAATTTACTACCTTCTCTGTGTCTATTTTTTGATAACTAAATGATGTCTAAGATACCATGCAGACTTTGGCCAAGTTCTTTAGAGGGTGATGTCATTTTCTCATCATGCAGTTTCACAGACGAAGCCTTTAGAAGGAGGCGTCGTCTCATCTCCTATGCATCCTGGATTTCTGACTTTTAGCGTGACCTAATATCATATCAGCACACCCTATCTATCTGTTGGCCGCCTTTATTGTGTTAGAGACGAGTTTGTGTTTCGGAGCACT